ATATGCTGAATTACATCCACAAAAACAGTCTGTTCAATTGTGGGAAACTGATTGTTCCATCCAACAATCACAGTTTAGAACTATAACTGGTTATATGCCTCACCTCGCATTTTAATCCATCGGCCCAAATATAAGTCCCTTGTCCATGCATGAGTCCTTCTGAAAACATACCCTTCAAAACAAAGCAACGACAAATGCTTAGAATGCAGCTGACATTTGAGATGGGGTCTGGTTCTGTCACCCAGGCTGGAGTGCAGTGGTGTGATCATAGCTCACTACAGCCTCGACCTCCCAGGCTCCAGCAATCCTCCCACTTCAGCCTCCCGAGTAGCTGGGACTACAGGCATCCACCACCATGCCCAGCTAGTTTTTGTATTTTTTGTAGAGACGGGATTTCACCGTGTTGGCCAGGCTAGTCTTGAAATCCTGAGCTCAAGCAACACGCCCACCTTGGCCTCCCAAAGTGCTGGGATTATAGGCAGGAGCCACCGCGCCTGGCCGGCCGCTGATGATGGTCTCCCACAGCTGCCTTATCCCAGTTTCCCGTGTGTGAAGATGCTTGTCTGCGCACTCAGCAGCAGCTGCGTCCTACTGAGTCCTACTTTGAGCTGGCTCCACGCTGGGATCCATCCTTCTCTAAAAAGGATCTAAGAGGTCCTCATCTTCATGACCTAAGGATGACCTCAGCTACAAAAATGTGTTCTCAACTGGATGTGGGGGCTCACACGTGCAATCCCAGCACTTTAGGAGTCTGAGGCAGGAGGATCACTTGTGCCCAGGAGTTCAAGACCAGCCCTGGCAACACAGCAAGTCCTTGTCTCTACCAAGAAAAAAAAATTTAATTAGCCAGGCGTGGTAGTGCACGCCTGTAGTCTCAGCTATTCAAGAGGCTGAGGAAGGAGGATCCTTTGACTCCGGGAGGTCAAGGCCACAATGAGCTATGACTGTGCCACTGCACTCTAGCTTGGGTGACAGTGAGACCCTGTCTCAAGAAAAAATAAAATAATCAGGAAAAGAAACAAATCTAAAATAACTTGTATTATACTGAGCATTATTTTTACCTTAAATAGGTAATCAGGGTTCAGAATAAAATCAGCATGAAGAGCTTCCAATTTCTTTTGAAGCGTCAGTGGATTTTACTGAAGATTTGCAAATCTCTGACCATCACCCCACACCTTCCTCCCCCTCCTGCAGGTTCTCAAACGCGCAACTCACACGATAGGTACAACCGCCTTGAAAGACTGCGAAGCCTTTTCCCTCGTACAGCCCACGAACTTTCTCCCCTTCATAGCTACAGAGAAATAAAGGGAATTCAAGGTAATGAACAATGTGAATACACCCAGGTGACAGTGGGTTAAAATATATAACTACGTAATGGGAAGAATGAAGTCGAAAATATATATATATACACACACACACACACACACACACACACACACACACAGCTAGAAAGTGGAATAGGTCACCAGGGGTTTCAAGGTGGGATAAGGAATGAAAGAGTTTGGGGTTTTGTGTTTTGTTTTGTTTTTTTCGGGTTTTATTTCGAGACGGAGTTTCACTCTGTCATTCAGGCTGGAGTACAGTGGCGTGATCTCGGCTCACTGCAAACTCCGCCTCCCGGGTTCAAGTGATTCTCCCGCCTCAGTCTCCTGAGTAGCTGGGATTACAGGCGCATGTCACCATGCCCAGCTAATTATTGTGTTTTCAGTAGAGAGGGGGTTTCACCATGTTGGCCAGACTGGTCTCAAACTCCTGACATCAAGTGATCCACCCACCTCAGCCTCCCAAAGTGCTTGGATTACAGGCTTGAACCACTGGACCTGGCCTGGAGTTACTATTTAATAGATGGTTGTACAATACTGTGAATGTACTTAATGCCATTGAATTGCACACTTAAAATAATTAAGATAGTACATTTTGTTATGTATGTTTCACCACAATAAATTCTCTCTCCATATATATGCCATGGGGCTCTACATTTGCCACTTGAGTGATGGGCTTACTGGAAGCCCAAATCTTAGCATCACACAACATGCCCTTGTAACCTGCACATGTAAACCCCTAAATCTAAAATACAATAATTTTTTTTTTTTT